TGGCAGGAGCCCAGGTCCAGCTCCCTGTGGCTGACACGCTGCCTGCCCTGCATGCTTCAGCACCGAGGCAAGGGCCAGCCATAGAGACCCTCTGGCTGACTACCAGGGCATCTCTGTGGAGAACCAAGCCTCCAGTTGCCTCAGGGCATAGTTCCGTTTTTTCCCCTGCAGTTTTTTTTTTGCCCCCATGCCGCAAATTTGCAGTGCAAGGAACATTTTTTTCGTTCCTGCACGTGCCTCTTGCAGCGTCTCAAAGGTCTTTGAAACACTGCAAGACACATGCGCACACTTGTGTGAATGTGCCCATAGATCCAGAAGTTATCAGATCTTACTAGCTAGTATATCCATTGTTCATTTTGAAAGGTTTCTTCAAGAATTCTAAATGAAAGGAATCACTAAACAATACATGTAAATAATAGTGTGTATGTTCACTGACAAAGAGCAAAGTTAAGAAAACAAACCAAAAAACTGCTATGGTTCTTGTCCAGTATTTCACAAAGTCAATGGGAGTTCTGCCTTTGACTTCAGTGAAAGCAGGATCAGACTTGATATGTTTTAATTCAGTATGCAGTTTCTCTACAAATGACATTTTCATCATAACTGAAGACCCAATTCTGCAAGTAACATGATGATTGTTGATGATTTTGCCTAATTTGAAGATGGGGTGATAATTAGAAAGGCTGTTTTCATGAAATATCATCTTTTACAGGAATAGGAAGATGCTCATTTTTCAGGCTTTTTATGAGGAGGGGAGGCTTTAATTACTTTCTTTATTAATTAATAATATTTGCTTTTGACTGGTTTTCATTAGCTAAGAGGATCATGGATAATCTTGAATATTTGTGAGGACTTCTTAAGGTCATGTACAAACTGGGCTAGTTCAGAAGCCATTAAATTGGAAAATAACTTGATTTTTAAAAATATAATACTGGACATTTCAAAGCATCTATATTTATGCACTGTTAAAACAGTGCAACATCTAATTGTAATTTAGGACAGTTGCCCATTCAGAAAAGTTTGTGTGTGAAAGGAAAAAATCCTAAATGCTAGCCCCAAGGAACTGCTTAAGCCAATGACTATTACTATAATTACTTGAATATTAGATGACAATCCCCCAATAATTAGATATTATATATTGAAATTTTATAAATTTCTTACAAATGTCCAGCTATTGAATCTAATTATTGGAGGTTTCCGTTGAATTTGTCCCCTTCCCACTGCTACAGTAGGGAAACTAAATCTGGGGGGTCAGGTATCCCCCTTGCCCGCTGTCCCCCCCCCCACCTTTTTCTCGTGCAGCCCGTTCCCCACTCTTATTGTCAGACCCTATTCTCCCTGAGTACCTGGAAGTGAGGGACACATTTGAAAACACTGACCTTGCAATAAACATACCTGTAGTAATTTATACATCAACAAATTCCTACAGGTACCCATAGACTTAGTTCATCCAGAACTGATGCATTTTACATTTTTTTTAAACTACTGCGTCACCATGCTGAAAAAATGGCAGCAGGGAACTTTGAAATCAAGCTCATTGGGCGTGTTTTATTTCAAAGCGCACTGCCACCATTTTGTTGGTGTGGAGACACGCGGTGATGCTGATATACACGATGTGCAGGGCTGCCAGAGCACATCGGTTTCGGTGTTCCAGCAGACTCAATTGATTGATTGGATTTCCATTATGTCGGAGCAGGCTCCCCACGTGTGTATGGGAGCCCTGTGTGTGTATAGTCCAGATACCCCTCTACAAAGGATCCAAGTGTTAATTAGCCCCCACTTATGACTGGAACCAGGTGTTCTTGTCACAAGTGCTGGAATTCTCCAAAAATATATATGCAAATGAGGCACAGGACAACCTGATTTGGCTCCACCTCATGGAAGGGCTCCATTTGGTGCTGTTTGACAGACATTTAAGGCTGGTGAAGCAATAGAAATAATTGGGAATGGGAAAGAAAGGCACAGCAGAGCTGTGAGAGTGAAGAGGAAGTTGAAACACTTTCATTGTAGTGGCTCACCGTGTGTTTAATGAGGTATCCTTGTATGTGAATGTAAGACAAGGGACTTTTCCCCCATGCTGATTGTGGGGAAAAAACCTCATCTTGTATTCTGAAGTAGCTGTAGAACTAAATTCCTGGACGTTCCTATTAAAGGAAGCTGATGACAG